AAGCACCTTGTGTACAGAAGCATCTTGATGTTAATAGCCCCTGGGCAATATGATTCAGGTATATTATTATGCTGTGTGTATATATTGTAGCATTTAAGGGCATCATCTTGCAATGTGCTGGTGTACCTCATCCTCTCTGCATCTTATCCCTTCAGTTCTCAGCCATGAGCCCTGAAAGACCTAATCCCAGCACCATCCTGATACGCAAAGCTTTTTTATCACTGACTGAATTTAGAATCCCACATCTCCAGCTCATATAAATGAGGGCAACCACTCACTGGAGAGCTGCTGATTTACACCATGGAGGATCTGACCTGGAAATGTATAAACCTCTCTGAGGTTCTTCATGACAGATGCAGAAGATTGTTAATAGCAGTGTTTGTAACATAAAAAAGGAAGTGTGAAAACACGGATCATTCCCACCACAAACACAGAAGATGTATGTTATAAACTGCAGTCGGAGTCTGTTCACATCAGCTCTTTGCATGCTCTAACAGTATGTCACTTCCAGGATGGCTCAGGAGGTGCTAAGCCTTGGCACAGAAAGCAACCAAACATCATCAGCTGCCACCAGATTTTCCTGAGGAACGCATCCCTGTGCAAGAGCTCGCATCAGAATCGAGGTTTTGTGTCTGAGCCTTCACGTGGCTGAGCAGAAGGCAGTGCTGGGGGAGCAGTGCGTGCTTTGACAGAGGACTGAAGCGATGCTGAGCTGAAGCTGAGCAGCAGAAGGCTCGGTTGTATCAGCTTCTCCTAGGTGACATTGTTTGCTTTCTCTGGGTGAATGTTTTAAAAGGCATCTGTTGAAATGTCTTGCAGAATTCACACAACATATGTGCAGGCTCCTATGCAAATAGGGAGCACATCCCTTTTGCCACTTGAGCTTGGTTTAAACTTTGCCATAAATTCACTTTGTTGGTGGGTTTGGGTTTCTTTTTGTCTTGGGTATCACCTGTTCCTGTCCTTGTACACGAAAGGTGCTGTACCGCATGTAAACCCAGGTTGAAACAGGAATTGCCTTCCGAGAACAGGGGCAGAGCAAGGCGTTTCGAGAAGACTTCAGGTCTGATGTCCACTACACAAGTGTCCAGCTTTAGAGATCCTGAACCTGTGCTTGCAGAAGGTTTGTGAAAGACTGACAGTGAAATGAGGCCCTCCTTCAACTTAGAGTGGCTTCATAGATCAGACAGCAACTGAGTGCATGCATACGGCAGAGGAGCAAATCCGTATGTCCACTCAGCTGTAACTGCAATCCCCACTGCATAAAGGGAACTGCAGACCCATGGGGGTGACATGCTCACCGCAGGCCGTATATCCATTTCAGGGTACAAGATGTATCAGGAAACATGTTCCTCTGGCAGTCCATCAATGCAAGCAGCGCAAAAAGAGGGCAAAGCTCTGACACTCTGCTCCAGGGCAGCACTTCTCAAGTTCTTATGCAAGAGCATGGTCTGAATAGAGACCTTCTGAGCCTGGTCTACTGGTTCTTATGGAAATACAACACCGTTCGGACTGGCCCAAGAGTTCTAGCTTGTGAAACAGAAGAAATGCAAAGTTCTTGCTTGGTATGAGTCCAAGAAGAGAAATTAGATCTGCAAAGGAGGAGTTTCTCCACAGAGATGCCTGCTCCCTTCCTGAGTGTATATTGCCAACACTGTGCAGCCTAACGAGTTCTGGGCAGTGCTGTGCCATGATACCAGCCACACCAGTGGCTGGAGCAACATGGCACTGTGGTCAGAGTGCTCCGAAACCGCTGATGCTCAGTGGATGAGGGAACGCTGCAGAGCTGAGCCCTCTTCTGCTGAATTAATCACGGAGACACCGGCAGAATTTTAAGATGTTGCATTGGCTGTAAAAAGATGCGGCTGCTTCGAGGCTGTAGCACAGAGAATTCGGAAAACAAGAGAAATGGCACTGGTGGATGATGCTCCCAACTCCAGGGTATGTGCTGTGAGCTGGGTGAGCTTTATTTCCTTCATTTCCCTCTCCAAAGAGCTTTGCAAATTGTGCCCAGAATGCATGATGTAGCAGAGAGGCATTAAGTGGCACATGGGTGCAGGATGGTGGTGAGGAAGATGTGCACCACTACTGACTTTCAAAAGTAATCCCTGCAACCATGGGATGTTTTCCTTTTTCCAGTAGTCATCTCCCATTGCCCAGAATACAGAGCTGGGCTGGACTGAGTGGAATGCTGGGTGACAGCAGTGTACAACCTCTGCTGCCTCGCGGGGAATGTGGAGATCTTCTTATTTACACCCTGTTCATTAATTATGTCCTGCATCTTCTATAGGAGCCCACAAACACCATAAACAAAAAGGAGAGATGCCTGAGAAAAGCATGACTCAAATCCATTGCAGGAATGAACTACTGCAAATCTTCTGCTGCACTGGTCCCAGAATACAAATTGCAGAAGATATTTCTCCTTACTGGAGTCTCTCAGTTCTTTGATATTGCCCTCAAACTACATTATGCAAAAGTCATCTGAAATTATCTTTGGTCATTTCAGTTTATCCCTTATTTTCCTGAATGATGGGAAGTGGATTTCAAGGTGACTTCTCATTTGCCAAAATCATTACAGCCTGCTCCTGACTGACTGGATGGAAAAAGCAGTACGCGGATGCACTGATTCTGCACAAGCCCATCAAATAAATGTGTGCACTTAATTTCACACACCTCATGCAAATAGTCAATTAATGCTCCTGCTTTGGCACTGAACGCAGATTCCATACGTAAGACTGGGCTTATTTCAGCATGTCCAAGCCTCCATGCAAAATGGAGATTAGACACAGGTTCTGGCTGATAAATTTGTAAAGAGATGTTACCCCAGGCTCCTTGCCACACAAGCACAAATAGGAGTGGGGACATAGTTTCAATGCTAATACAGTCTCTCTTTCCTGGATAATATCTAATCAATTGTTTCCAGCACCCTGATGACTATGATGCACTTCCTAATCCTGCAGTCAGTCTATTAGACATGAATTGAAGTCATCAGCAAGCAAATAATGTTCTCAGAGAGATGACACATTTGCTGTATGCTCACTTGGGGCTATGGTCTTTTTGCCAGACAATAACCCTACTCCAGGAGTGCAGAGGTGTCCAGAAGCAGTAGGAAAGAAGAGTTTATTAACCAAGATGGTTATTGCACCGTTAAGAGGAAATGTTCACCATTGCTGAATTCCATAAGAAAGTACCTCATAATTTCTCAGACCTGGGAATGAAATGATGCTCTGGCAGAGAGCTGGGCTGTTCCCTTTCTGTGCGATGGCTGACGCTGGCTGTCAGGTTTTGAGCCCAGAGGACAGCATTCAGATGCTTGCTGAGACAGGCAAAGCCCCTGTTCCTCATGGAGCAGTTTCCTTGCTGGCAGCGCTGCGGGATCACACAAAGTTGGGGTATCCCATGCTGGTGCCAGGCTTGTGCTCAAGAAGAGGGGAAGCTGTTCCTTCACTCATGGTTGTACCCTGGCACTGTTGTGGTTTGTTCTGCAGCAGCTTCGCTGTGAGGAAGCTCATGGTGCAGCACAATACACTCAGTGACAACAGGGGCAGGAAGGAGCAAGAGTTGGGTTTGTTGACATGGTAGCTGTAATTCAAGTGCCAAAACATGGGTGGCCTCAGAGCTCTGACAGGTCCCACAGCACTCAGCCTCTTGTTTCTTGGATAAACTGGCATACCCCAAACGGCACAGATGCCTCTAAATTGAGGACTGGGCATATAAGCCTGCTGAGAGGTGCAGAGCAGTGCTCTGACCACAGTGGCTTTGGGAGATCATGAGCAGGTTTACACTGGAAGACAAGACTGTCTCAGCCCATCTTTGGGAAGCATGGGTGCAATGTGAAGGTAGGTCACAGTGGAGGAGAAGTTGTGGAGGCAGCTCTGGATTCCCACGTGTAGGAATGTGGGAACTCAGGACTTGGGAATTCTGCCAGTCCTCAGCTGTATTGGAGAACTTAGCTGTCTGGTTTTATTTTCAGGCCATACTTGAAGTGTCCACCTCCTTGGCCTTTTGACTGCTGCAAACTCCCAAAGAGCCCACTGTAGTCTCGCCTAGCTTTGCTTCTCATCATTGAAGCTCCTGCTGTTTTAATACTCTTGTACCTGCCTATTTGAACACCTGGGATTTATAAACGCAGTTCAACAGGTCCCTGTCCCTTGGCTGAGCTGATGAAAGACCATTTTACATCCAGCTTGCAGCAAACGAACAAGATTTCAAAACTCGCAGGTTGTCTGGACTTGAATTTTAACATTCATGCTCAGTGCCAATCTTTACTGTCAGTGCCCTCAGCATCAGCATCCTGACAGCGGGCATTTTAACACTGGCTGGGGATTCCCTCAGGGACCAACTCCTCAGGGATGGCACCTACTTCCCTGCACCAGGAACCTCTCCAAACCTTACTTTGTCTTCTGACTGCACCCAGATGCGCACCCCACAGCTGCACTTCACACTTCCCAAAGGGAGCATGGTCATCTCTAGAGCCCACCAGAACCCCTGGGGCTATGGACTGGCTTTGCCAGGAGCCTCCAGGGTCAAAGCATTGATCAGAAGTCTGGTGCGATGAGAGAACAATTTGATCATCAGCCTTGGTTAAAATAACCCCACAGACTCCTTTCCATGTCTCTGATGGTGGGGAAAGCACAGCTTGCTGGGGTGAAGGTAAGTGATGCTGGCTGAACTCATGCAGTCTGCAGTGGGGCCCATCCACAGCACCATGACATAGCCCTCCACAGTAAGTGGACCAGACACCCTGTCCTGCTTTGAGGAGAGCTGGCTGGCCCAGAGGCTCCTGAGGTCCAGTTTGCTTCTCTCCATAACCACTGTGGACAAGGAAACGATGCCACAGAATCCTTTTTTTGCTGATCAGCTGGTGCCTGTTTGAATCATGTGCACAGCCTGTCACCGAGGCTCAGATACCGCTCTTCTCTCTGCATAGCCTATGGGAATGGCTTGCCTCGCCTTCGTTGGGTGCACACTGTAGACATGTCTTTGTTGTTTCTTTTCAGACAAGCCACGAATGAACAACATCCTTACTTCTGCCACCGAGCCCTATGACCTCTCCTTCTCCCGGTCCTTCCAGAACCTCTCTCACCTCCCACCATCCTATGAGTCTGCCGTCAAGACAAACCCAAGTAAATATTCTTCTCTGAAGAGACTAAGTAGGTGTCAGCTCATTTCATTTCTTTTGTATCTCATTTGCTTGTAAGCCACATTGGGCACAATGTTAAGGCAGTAACCTTCTTCCCTCTGTCGTTGTACTGCCCCAGTTGGTGTGTCTGGTAATGATTCTTCTGGCTGTCACTTCCCATTAAGGAAGAGTGTAGAGAAAGAGTCACTTCATTACTGTGAGAGCACATGTGGTTATTTGCTTATTGACCTCATTCTGTGCTGCCTCCCATTACACCACCTTGTATCTGCTCCTCATAGAGTCATCTGAGAATCTTCTTTGTGCTGGAGCTGAGATGAACCAAGCTGTCTGCCCCGGATCAGCTGAGTTCACTTTAGTGTACCCAGGGCAGATATCTCCCCATCCATGGGGTAGCTGAAACCAGATGACAAGCCCATGTTGACAGAAAGCTGCTGAAATGGTTGGGAGCATCTGTTTCAGTAGGAGGACAGTGGTGTGATCTGCTGCCATGTTTCATGGTGTATGTGTCTGGATCTGGTCCTGACTTGTGCCATGCACTGATGTGAGGACTGTCTCTGTTATTGCAGCGTGTTGCTGCCACCCTGTTCACACTAGTTGGTATCTGTTCTTTCTCACTGTTTTATGTATTGCATTGTTCTGCCAACTTTGCTGTGAATGCTCCAGCCCATCACCTTTGCTGATGGCACTCTTCAGCTTTGGTGGGTTTATGAAATAAGTGGTATTTCTGCAGGCAAATGCTCTCTCCAGGCTGACACTAGGCTTGTAGTATATATGTTTCCCTGAACATTTTCTGGATGCAGCTTGTATTCATACTGCTGAACTTAGAGAAATATCTTAGGTGTTTAACCTTGCAATAGCTTCATTGAAGGTAGGTCAGGATGAGGAGCAGATCCTGCTTCCTTAGTATGTATAAAATCTGCATTCCCGATTTAGCCAGCTAAGTGACAGACACAAAATTAAGTGGCAGGGAAGCCCTTGGACTGTCAATAGGGAATCTCTGGAAGATTTTTCAGAAAAGAAAATGGAGAGGAAATGTAGCACATAAAAATCTCAGCCCACTCCTTGGTACTTCAGCATGGAACATGTTTAACATTAAGGCAAATACATTTGATGTGTTTAAAAGTAAGATTGTGCTTAACCTTGTTGGAGAACAGAGGTGAGGTATTTTGTGGCTGGAGCCTGCCATCTTCCCTGTTCAGCATGCCACATGCATAACTCTGCTTTACCATGAGCTTTGGTCCCTGATAGCATTTGGATCTCACACTGCCACCCACAAGCATTTTCCCGTCACTACAGCCTAATGATGGACAGTCCATGTTCTTGATCAACTTTGATGGTACTATCTAATATTGAAAAGCCTTGAACTCATGGCACTTTAATGTTACTGCTTTAAGATGTGATGATTTATTTTCATTTCTTAGCTGAAATGAAAATTTCTCAGCAGACAAATATACCCTCTAGATAGCCCTGAAAACTGCTGTTTAATTGGTAATTGATTTGCAGTGCCTGGGATTACCTGGGGTACATACTTCCTCTTCAGAGTCTGGGAGATCTCTGTCCTGGCATCACTGAGAATAGGTTAGAAATGATGGCTGCTCCTGTCATGATACAGAGGATGGTCAGGACCATTTCTAGCCTGTGGTTTATTTATTGCTTCACATATTGTGCATGGATTCTCAGTGAAATCTCCTTGAGCTCCATATTAAAGCTATTGATGTATCTATCTCACTGGAACATTAAAAAACCACAAATGAATCCCAACTGAAACTGCCACCCCTTCCACAGCCAACATCTAGGAATGTATGTCAGATCTGAACACTCTACATACTCCTGCAATTCTTACCTCACTCAGACTGAGTCTAAATTCACCCACACCAAGCAATGCCATCTCTTCACTGAGCAATACCTTACTAAGTGGTGTCTCAGCAGTCTGACCCATTGGGTGCACTGCTCAGCAGTTGAAGAAAGGACGGGCCCTTACTTGTTCATCTTGCCCCTCGGTAGATCACAGAGAAATGAATAAGTATTGAACTCTAGCACTGCATTTACCAGGTATTTGTCTAAAGTGACAAAAACAGGTTTGTATTGAGGTGCCAAGATTACACATCCTCAAGTACGTGCTGAATATAGCCAGCGTCCCTCTCTTGAGCTTCTCCTGACGGTGGCCCTGTCCCCATTCAGAGGATTCCTGGCAGTGAACATGAACCTAAAAGAGCATTACAGTTAGTGTTTGGGCATTGGCTGGAGTGGGGTTCATTCACCCCCTTAGCTTTTCAGCAGCATCCACCCTAGAAGGGGTTCCCTGCACACTGCAATGGAAAGAGCAGCTATTTACCCATGACTGGCAGGTTCTAGTTACAGTTCAGTCATCGTTGCAAGGCACCAAACTATCCTTTTGCAAAGCACCTGACAAATGTCAAACCAAGTGCCTCACACTGTATTTTTGACTAACTAGACAGCAGTTCCAGCTCTGAAAGTGCTAAGCACTCCATGCTCCCACTGGGCTTGCATATGCTCAGCTCCTCTGGAATCACTGAATCACTTTCTTATGCCTGGTCCTCTTCAGAGCCAAAGGAAAATAGGCACTCAGGTCCTAGACCTGTCCTTGTTAAATGCTAGCAATACTTTTTCTTGCTCTATATGAGGGAGCTAAAGGCAACACAAATTCCAGGAAAAGTATCTAAATGCTGGGATTTGCAAAGATTTTTTTGTTTTGTTGTATTTTTCATATTTAAAATGACTTGTTTCTAACAAACTCCCTGCCATGGTTAAAAGAAAAGAATGCTGTGAAGAGCTCATTAACAAATGTCATATTTCTGAGTAAAACAAAAGGAATTAGCTATATTTTCAATCAGCTATTTCAGTTGCCAGACAGCTAAAGGTCACTTATTTTCCCACAATTGACAGTGACAGTGAAATGCAGTTTCTTCCCAAGAGCATCTAAATTGAATAATCAAGGCCTATCCAGGAAGAAATAATGTTTAGTTTAATATCTCCTTGCCAAAAATGAGGAGACATCACTCAGCAAGGGTATGGTGAGATCCACCTCACCCTAGTTTAGCCGTTCAGCAATCAGGCATCTTGTTTGTGCATTTGATGGAGGCATCTCTACAGTCAGTGAAGGACATCTCCATGTGAGCTCTCTGAAGGTCCCAGTCTGTCATTGACACCAGAGTTGCTCTGGTAAGCTTCCTAGCTCTTTGCTGGATAACAAGCCTAATTTGAGATGCCTAGAGCTTAACGAGGTACATCCCTCTTTAGGAGCCTCATCTCGGTGACTTGTGAAGCAAGGAAGAGATGAGCATCTGCTGCATCTGCATCCCTGGGGAATGTGCCCAGCTTGGGGAGGGGACCTCCTCACCGCTGGAGTAGCAGGATGGGCACTCACCTCTGCTGGCGTTTGACTAAGAAAGTAGGACCATGGCTTCTTCTTCCAGAGCAAGAGCTTGAAGAGGGTCCAGGCCTTATAGGAGCAGTAGAAAACATGTGGATCTAGCATAGCAGCCAGCCGGAAGCAGAGCCTGTGCAAGCAGAGCTATTTCTGCTTCCATGGCTATTTAATTCCGCAGCTTTTACTTCAAGGCACAGACAACAGGAAACCCATTTGGGGTTGCTATGTGTGAAGCCAAGGAGGGGGATCCCTGAGGGGCAGGGTACCACATCCATGGGAAGCCCTATGCCTAGTCAGGCTGGCATGTGGGAAGAGCAGCGGTGGGTGGATGTGGGAACACATGGCTGAGCAAGAGCAGCTGGGTTAATTCTATCCTGCCCAGCACTCCAGGGAACTGGTGCCTCCAGCTAAGTGAGAAAGGTCAGTCAGGAAGGAAGATAATATTTTCAGGCATATTAAGCCACTTGGTATTGGGTAAAGAAGCATCACAAATGACTAGGCAGCTTGGAAATGTTACAGCCAATTAAAACAGGAGAGACAAGCCCAGAGAGGAAATACACTGGAGCTGCAGAGAAAGAAAAGCAAAGAAATTACCTTTAGGTAAAGCAGAGAAATGACTGTGATGGCCTTACAGACATACACAAATGAATTTTAACCATATTCACATACAACTACGAGAAGAAAAAATATCCTTGGCTTTTCCACATTCTCTTTGCAGAATGCCACAAACATACCTCATTTCTCTAATTACAGTGTGAGAGGAGCTGTGCTCTGCCTTTCTGTGATGGCACCTCAGACATGTAGAGGTGAGATGGGTAAGAGCACTCATTTGTGGCGCTGCCTCCAAATGGAAGGAAGGAAAAAAAAACAGAAAGCTGTCTGAGGGCAAATCAGCTCATATAAAGCCAAGCCAGTTGAAGCACTTAAACACTTCTCAAGTTTGATGAGACCATCCATGGTCAATGTTCTAGAAATTGCCAAAGAAAGAAAGGGAGGAAAGAAACAACCAAAACCTATGGAAAAAGGAAACTCCTGAAAATGTGCAGAAAATGTGATGTCCAGGAATTCAAAATATATGAAAAACGTGAGTGAAGGCCTGGAAGTATGAGATTGACTCAAAAAAAGAGAAACTTCCTTTATCGACCAATACGTCAGTGATTTCATTCTGTCTCCACATGGATTCTGGCCCTTTGGAATCCACTAAGGACACATTTTGAATTCTTAAGCACATCCATGAGGCAGAAACATATTCTATTGTAGTTTTATTTTGGCTAAAAATACAAGTGTCAGTTTCCACATGAGCATCAATGAGAAGATAAGGGGTAGCAGTATCAGAGCCTCACCAGCCCAGTGACCTTCCTGGTGCAATATGGATGAGATGAATCAGACTGGATGGGACCAGAAACATTCTGATTTTATGAAACTGTGCAACCACATAGTCCACAGTTCCCACAGGGTGAAGCACCCAGTATCTCCACTCTCAAAAGCCTGGAGATGTGTTGGTTTCATTGCTTTCCCTGCGGACAGAGATGCTGCGGTTACAGAGCTCTGCTGAGCTTCTCCCTTGGCATGGAGGCACAAGTGTGACCCAGCACACTCGGCCTCCTGTCAAGCTACATTCCCCATGACTGGTTCTGCAACACTCATGAACTGACACCACATTCCAGAGGCAACTGCCTGTTAAATGTCTATCTGGTGCCTGCTTAAACCAGCTTGTTGTTCACGGGAAACTGCCATTTCGGCTTTGATTCCTTGGAGATGGAGATGTGAAGTCTTTCTACACCTGAAAATGTTCCCAGAATAACTGTGCCAATATCTACATGTGTCTCTTAGAATCACAGGAGGACACAGCCTGTGTGAGCTTGGGAACACCTATGAAATGAAATCAGTTCCCTCAATGGGTTAACCACTGCCAGCAAAAGGCCATGCAGACCCCTACACTGTGTACAGGGGTGGAAGAAGGAACAAAAAGATGCTTTTAATACTCTAAGTTGGCAAAAATGTTAAAGTCCAGAGCATGCTGCATTCTTTATCTAAATTGGCAAGGAACAACTTCAAAATACTTTTAATCAGCTGATCCTGCCACCTCACCAGCAGTCTCAGACCACTGTAAACCTCACATAAGCTGGTTTAGCTCCTGCTGGCAATTACCACAGCCAGGTTTGAGCATCCAACCATATCTCCGTTTGGGATATTCTCTGCTGTAATTACGTCTATTTGGAGTCACTTGGGCAAATCCAGTGGACCTTCTGTCATGCAGAGCAGAGGCCAAGTGCCAAAGTGCTAATTACTTAGCTCCTTTTCAGCATCCAGCTCCAAGCATCATTATCAAGCTTGTGCACACCAAGTGTATGCAAGTCTATCTATGGCCACATTATAGACTAAAAATGTCTACAATTACTGTGGCCATATGGAATTTTCCCAGTCCTTCTCAGGCTTCCTAGAAGGTGATTTTAAAGACACAAGAGCTTGAAAGCAGGGGAGCCATTGTCTGACATTTGCAATGAGATATTCTTCCAAAAAGCTTAAAAAAAGGACTTATTCTATAATATATACTCTGGAGAGCAAATCCCATCAGCAGTAAGCTGATGTAGAGGAGAGCTCTGGGTAACTCTCCACCAAGGAGAGCCTTGGTGGTGTGTAGGCTGTAAAGAAGAGGTTGGCAGCAAGAGCGGTGCCAACAGGCTGTGCATTTTGGCATGCATATTCTCAGCTTGTACTTTTGGATGCTGAGACATGGGGATCAACCATCCTCCTCACAGGTCCTCTGGGTTATGTGGACTGTTCTCAGGACCATGAGGAGTAAAGTCCAGGAGGCAGTGAGGGAGGGATGAATGTATAGGAGATGAGGAAATTAGAGCATGAGATCCAGCACAAGGTGCTTACAGCACTCAGGGTTTAGCTGAAGGCTTTAAGGCACCAATGCATAACTTACCTTGTGAGCAAACTTCCAGGATGTTGTGAGTACCTATCACACACCATAGAATCACAGGATGGCTTGGGCTGGAAGGGACCATAATCTTCACAGTACAAGTTGGTTGAATCAGGTCATTCCAGCTGTTGTATGATATATCAGGATGCATCTGCAGTAGCCAACATCCTTTCTGAGTCTAAAAGCCAAAAAGAGGGGGTGGGGGGGGAGTGGGTGAGCTGAGTTCCCGAGCAACAGAGAGAAGCAAATCGAGCAAGAACCATTGCATGGAGTAAATTGCATTCTATCAACCAAGGTGTCTGAAAAATGGAAAACGAGACCCCAGAGAGATGATTCAGACTCTCAGAGAGAGCATCCCATGCCCACCAAACCTGCTCTGTGATCACATTTAAAAAGACTCAGAAGTAGTCATTAAAGATGTGAGGAAGTCAGTCATGGATTCCAGAGCACACCCACGTCTGAAGCCAGAAGTGAGGTATGAGTTTCTACAAATGGGGAACTTGCCTACCTCAGCTCACCTTCCCTGTGCTTTCTATATAAGTGTATTGTGAAGGTGACACTTGATAATTTCCCCATGACTCACCATTTGTGTAAATCAACCAATACCACAGTCTGGACTCGACAACCTATGGTCTGTTGTGTCATGGTGCAAGGTGTGTTGTGTTGCACAGGGTCTTATACTGTCTGTGTGCAATTATAACACTCTTTGTCTGCTATAAGCCCATGGTGACACAACCCACACAGGGCTGGCATTTCTGACATGGATGTCCATGCCCCAGTCCAGCTGCTGGTAGATGGTGCCTTGGAGGAGGCATCTGGTCCAAGGCGGTGTGCTGTACACAGTCCCTTTCACCCCATGGGACAGCACTCTGACATTCCTAACTTCCCTTTCCTTTCCCACAGCTGACAAAGAGGCTGATGAGTACTACATGAGGAGGAGACACTTGCCAGACCTGGCAGCCCGGGGCACGCTCCCTATCAACGTCATCAAAATGTCTCAACAGACCAACCAGAGGGACAGGCCCCGCCGTCCCATCAGGGCCATGTCCCAGGACAGAGTGCTGTCCCCTGAGAGGATCATGCCCGAGGAGTTTAGCATGTCCTATGAACGGATCCTCTCAGATGAGCAGCTCCTGTCCGCGGAACGCCTCCACTCCCAAGACCCGCTGCTCTCCCCGGAGCGGTCGGGGTACCCTGAGCAGTCTATGTCACGGGCACTGTCACACACAGACGTCTTTGTATCAACACCCGTCTTGGATCGCTACAGGATGACAAAAATGCACTCCCATCCTAGTGCCTCAAATAACTTGTACAATACCTTAGGTATGAACCCGACCTCCGCCAAGCGCCAAGCATTTGCCTCCCGACGGCACAACACGGTAGAACAACTGCATTATATTCCAGGACACCACCATCACTACCGCACAGCGAGCAAAACAGAGGTGACTGTTTGATAGGACCTCGTGCATTGTAGATACTCATTAAGGACTGGGGTGGCACAGCACCCCAGACTGCAGTGGCCTTATAGGCCAAGATAACCTCTAATAACTCAGTGTCTGAAAAGACTTCTCTGACAGTCCCATCCACGTCGTTGTTTTTAAAGCCACCCCTTCATCGGTGATGACATAAGAAGAACCCAAGCAAGCAAGCAGATGGTAGTGAGAGATAATAGGGGAAATTTATTGATGTGCATCAGTTTCTGTCAAAGAAAGCCATAGCAGTCAATGGCTCCTTCTAAGGGCTCACCTGCATTATCTCATTGTCCTTATGAATTTAGGACTTTTCAGTTGCTACAGGTAGAAGCAGTCTCATGCAGCCCAAGACAGGGAGGAGGAAAAGCAGCACCCAGTTCTGGCAGGAAGGACTACTGCTCTTGGTCTGCATGCCAGCCCTCATGTCTGGCCTTTCTGTAGCAAGAAGGTAAGCTTCTGGCTGCTGGGGATCACCTCCAGACTGCTCACTATCAGTCAGAACCCGTACATCTGTTTTCCATCACCCTTGGAGTGAATTCAAGGGCAGACTTTCCTAGGGGACTGGCAGATCTAGGGACAAGAATAGCCTGGCTGAGAAATAAAGGTTTAGTTTATATTAAATATATTCATAAGATAAAAACATACTAGTGCCTACAAATCGCCTGCTCTCTCAGTGTAGGAAGTAGTGGGGTTGATGTGTTCAATAAGCACAAATATGCTGAAATGCTTGTTAGACCCTTTCCCCACTCATTCTAGTATCTTGGTGTCTCCAACATGTAAATAGGAAGGAGGAAGAGGGTTTCTCTTCCTTCAGCTTCTTGCCACTGCTGAACCTAAAGCACCAGAATTCGTCCAGCTTCGCACTGCTGACCTGTGCTGGGGGAAGTCCTGACTCCACTGAGACCCCTGCAAGGCCAAGGCTACCACACACTCACTGAGCCTGTTTATTTTCCTGAAAGCATCTTCCACTGGCCCAGTTCCCCCATTTCTGAACAAACGTTCTCTCAGTTACATCTAGAACTCCATATGTAGCAGATCTTTTTCTAGCCCTTAGCAGAAGCACAAAGCTGAGGGTGTCTCGCCTACAGAAAAAGAGGTCGGTTATTTTCCAGTATCTTCTCTCCATCTGCAAGAAAACCTTCCAAATTCCAAATCCACTCAGTACCAATCCTAACCATGAAGACAGTTACATTTCATGCATAGAAATTATATATCCAGCATAATTATAATAAGTGGGCATGTTGTATATCTGATTGATGCTAATTAGATACTGTATATTTGTAACATCTGTAAAACATAGACTCGTGGGTCCAGAATTTGTGAGGGTTTTATCTGTGGTTTTCAAGCCAGATTGGGCTTTGCTTTGGTTTCTGTTGGTTTCTTTTGGTTTGGGTTGGGTTTTTTTCCTTGTATTTGTGCTCCTATCAAATTCTGTAGAACTAACTCACACTAGAGCATACTTCTGTGGCCAGGAAAGGGTCTCAGAGGTCTTGAAGGCTACCCAGACCCAGTGCTGTAACTGTTAGTTCTGGACTCGCTGTCCTTGGTGTGCATTCAAAGCCCCACCACATGCACACACCCATGCTGCTAATCCCAATGAGAGGCATGCTTGTCCTCCAGCTGAAATGACAACTGACTGCAGGCTGTAAACACATTCCCATCCAGTATTTCTCTCTTCATGCCCTACATTCCCACACTGACCCTTTTCCTACATGGCTTTTTACTTCATTTAAATTAGGTCTGCCCTTCTCCCTCCCCTCAAATACCTCCCACCTCCTGGCCTTAATGATGTTCCCAGCTCAACACATCATTGCTGTAGCGTATAATGACTGTAGGTTGTTGTGAGCTTGAGTCTTCTGTGGAGGCTTATGATACAGCACCAGGTTTATCTGGTGCAGGGTAGGCAGGGAGAGCATGCCATCTTCCCCTGGTGGGATTTAGAGGTAGGAGGCCTCAGTGGGGTGGCCATGTGGCCTTTCCCATTCCCAGACTCTTCGTTCTTGGGCTTTCTTCTGCCTCGCCTGATGGAGACTGTTCAGAAAGGACTCCGGCTGTCACACGTCCTGGGGCTTTGTTTGGCGGAAACTGAGCTGGGAAGGAATGAATAAGAGTCTCCACGGTTCAGGTGGTCATTACCATGCAGCCTTGGGCAAAATCAATCTGGCAACCACCAGAATAGTCTATCGATCAGAGTGGCAGTGCATGGCACGGGAGGGATAAGAGAAAAAAGGCTCACAGCTCATCTCCTTCCCTTGATGGACACTTCCTCCCCTGACTACCTCCAAGCTCCTCAGTTCACTCGCTGGTTACTTCTTCACAGAAGGCAATCCCTGTGAAAGCATTGCACTTGCTGACCTTCCCACAGACCGGAGCTTGTGCCTCTTGAAGAGAAGAGAATCACACATGGCTCATGGGGAGGCAACCCCCGCTGAGGTTCTGGGGCTCTTCCATCCTCTCATGGCCCAAGCAAAGCCAGGATCTTCCGCCCTGCAAGCAGGGAGATGTGAACACTGTGGGAGAGGGGAGGCGATCCTAGAATCTCCAGGAGTTAAGATGGAAGAGTCGGAGGAGCAAAGGTGACCATGTGAGGCTGCGGGTAGGTGAACTCTCCTCTCTATCCATTTCCGTAGCTGTGTGTCTCAAGCTCTAGTCTTTGTTCAAATGTTCTGTTCATGAACATAAGAAACTGCTGGACCAGATGCCAATATGGACACGTTTCACTCAAGTAGCTCATGCTGTGCTGTGCTCCAGCCCATTTGACCTCAGAGCCTTCTCTTATTCTGACCAAGGCCCTCTTCTAACTTGTCCTACCTGGGCAGCAATCCTCCAAAGAAAACGTAGCCCGTTTCCTCATCTTTTCTATCAGCTCAACAGTTTCAAGCAGATGTGCCCCACGAGAACCATCAAAAAGACTTTCTAGGCCAAATCTCTTCAGGGACTCTGCCACCACCACAGAAAATTTTCAGCAAATTTCTTTGGGAAGGCACCATGATCACAATTTGTTCCTGTGCACCATGTCTTCCCATGGCTTGCTGTGTGTGCTGGAATGCGTTGATAGCTACAGCACTGACATTGCAGCACACTGAGGTGTTCTTATGTCATTTGTTACCTTATTCTGTGTTCTGAGAGTTTGTCACTGAAAGGACACTTGGTTCAGGACTGGGTGTCATGATCCACAGGCTGGTCCAAAGCACTTCGGTTCCCCATGGTCAACATGTGTGATAATGGTAACGCTTCCCTATTCTGCAGAGGCATTATGAGGGTTCATACCATAATGTTGATGAAGTGCTTTGAGACCCTCCCACAACAGATACTGTAGAGCAGCAAAGCATTTTTATTAACATTGTTTGTCACCATTATCCTGCCACATCACGTCTGATGTGTTGCAAGCCAGTGTCTGTCCAGAATGAGAGTGCTGGGGTAGGGGGATGCAGTTGCCCACATTTCCTATTGCTCTCCTTCTGGTCAGGGTCCCTCACAGGCAAGCAGCTCTGAGGGATGCTGTGACCTGCACTTGGACCTTTCTGTTTTCTTCTCCTCATGTCTGAGTCACCTTAATGTTCGGCACTCAGGAGAAAAGCAGGAAGCAGTCACTCTCCTCTGTACAGTAAAATATCATCTGCCTTGATTCACCTAATATACTCTGAAGAATTGATCTGTCTTTTTCTCCAACCCCCAGGTGGAAACACACATCTGTGGAGTGTCCAGTTCCCAGAGTGCATGTGCAGGGACTGGGGGAGGGTGATGTGGAAAACTTTATATCACTTCCTACAAACTGATAATGGTTTGCATTCCCCAAGCAGCAACACGTAAGAGTGAGCTGCACTGATTTTGTACAACTCTCCTTGATAGAGCTACACGTATGTATATGTATATACACACAAACACATGCATATACATACATACTGTAAATGCAGTCATTAAGCTCTGACTGACCCTGTACCAGTCTAAGCTTCCAAACTATGTTGAATCCTTCTTTGAAATGTGAAAAACTATTTGTAATGAACCACACAGAGCACCACATGGAATGGAAATTTTGTCATAAAAGTCTTCTAATGCCACTGAATTGTGTTTTAAGGAAAAAACAAAATATTTTTCAATGTTTTAATGTTCCTTTTATAAATGAGGATCTGTTACTTGGGGGTGGGGGGGTGTGTGGGTGGGAAGAAACAGGGACAGTTACCCGGGAGTAAGCCCTCCTTTCCTGGCCTAGATTTCATTTCTGTCTACTGTTCTGCTAGCCTGGCTAACTGCAAAGCTGGTCCCATGAGCCTGGGCTTCCCTCATGCATATTTCTGTTGAGAAGCATTCCCACCAGGAATCCGCAAGGCCTTGGCATCAAGCTTTTATAAGGGATGGGTAGTTCCCGGTAGCTGGGAAGATGTCTCCATCTTCTTCCACCACAATAAACTTAACTATCATGAGAGAGGGTGACTCCAATTGTATTTGAAATAAATGTTCGGATTTGCAATCAATTTGCCATTCTTCAGTTTATGTGATGGAGAAAAAGATCATCTTAGTTTTCTTTCAGATTTAGTGCTTATCCTGGAAGGAGGGACTCCGCTGAAATACACTTAACAAACACATTTCATGTGCAAGTGTGTTTCAGACGAGTGAAAAGCTGGTGGGGGAAATACGTGAGATGGGGGTTAAATATTTTGATAAACAGTGTTGTTAGCAATAAGCCTGTGTGGGGGCTGCTTCTTAGAGAACAGCCACTTCTGTGTTGTATGTCCCTAAGTGGATGGTCGAAGGTCTCGATCCCAGCCTCTCTTAGCTGGTTCAAGGTGCCCAAATCCAGCTGGGAAGACCAACCTACGCTTCACCCGCTGGCTGCCCGGGGCGAGGGGAGAGTTGGACAATCCCGTTCCAGCACGTCAGTGTACATCTGGAATAGGTCTCTGCTCCCAGCAACGCGCGAAGAGGCGTCCCGTGGCTCCAGCAGGAGGTCGCCATCCCCACCAGCTCCGCTGCAGGCGGACGTGCGTCGCTGCCCGTGTGCTCCGCGATGGCTCCTGACCTTCTGTCTGCAAACCCCTCCGACGTTTTTGTAGCAAGAATTTCTTGGCTCTGAGAAAGACACTTCTTACTGTAGGCTTTTTAGTTTGGGGGACAGTATTTCCTAAGAGGGGGTAAGTGGATATTTTTGTGCTTTAGCCCGGTTTATGGATTCCATGTTTATTATACCGTAGTACTGAAGAGGAAGTACATTTGTATCTGTAACTTTGCACAGACTCTTGGTTGACCATTAAACAAGCTTCAAGATGAGCAGTATTTGACTGTTTTTCTCTGTATTATTCTCGTTGTTATACTTACCTGTAAAAGCACATTCTGTATGTACTGTAAACAAAAATATTATCAGTTTAGTAAAATTTAGAGTCTTAAGGATTTTTCCACTTTTGTCAGTAACAAATATTTATGGATTAAAAAATAAAGGCAATTTCAACATATAAATTGTTTCTTTTGGTATCTATTGGGGGGGGTGGGGGAAAGGCCATTTTCTTGGCAACCTTCCCAATCTTTGTAACCAGCAATTGAAAGGTAGATATCTATATTTCTGTGTGTAGTTTAATTGCAGCTATTAAAATGAATGCTACAAGGCCTGGAAGAGTCATTATTTTTACATAATTCTTTACTGCATTTCATCATCATTCCAGAAAATAGCAGGGGAAGAAACGAGATGTTCCTATTTGCTGTTGAATTTTATCATGCAAGCCCATAAGGTTTTATTTCCATGTTGTTCTTCTTTAATTTTCCATTTAGAAGCCACAATCCATTCTCTATCTAGAACACCTTGTATTTAAATGCAGAGCTTGTGAAATGTCCCATAACGCTGGAGACTTCTGTGGGTGCTTTGCTTTTGCTGCTGGCAATGCTGCACATGCAGGAATTTCCCTGTCATTCTTCCAAGATGTGGGAAGTGCCAAGGAGGCCGGGGTGTTTTCCTCACTAAACAGCTCCCACTACTACCACTGCAGTTTCATTTCTACAAGCTCCGAGTCCGGATTTATTATTACTATGTCTTGATGGGAAACATGGCAGGGTTTTTCCCTATTTTATACTTCCATTTTCATATCACTTTGCCTTCAGCATTATGCAGATTTTCCTGCATTAAAAATGTGATGTTTTGGAATGGAGAAAGGTTGCTGGGAATAAAAATCGTTGAGGCATCAGAACCCTTTCATACCACAGCACTGGGAGCAGATGAAGGAGGGCAGGCACTGTGGTGGTGCTTCCCTCCCACTGCGGAGCTGCTGGATGCCCATCCATGTGCTGCAGGGCTTTGGGAGAAGCTCTCCTCATCCAGTCGTGCCACATCACACCACATCACACCACATCTGCCCCTGTCCCTTCTCTGCTAGTTTGCAGCTCTGGTGCTGAGTTTCAGAGTTCTACTGAGATAACATCACAGGGCTAATGCCCCACAGGTCCTTCCCCACTGCTACTTTGATGTGATGCAGAGGTTATCACATCACCACCACTCACCCATCAATCCCAAGCACTCATTCGCACTCTTTCCTTAGGCATAGCTTTCTCCTGCTTTGCTGTTCAGCTTAAACAGATTAAACAAGCTTTGAGGAGTAAAAGCCACTGCCACCAAGAGAAGGTCCTTTTGTAGCCAGGTTAGTGCTTGAGGTCTCCTATCTCCCTAAGATCAGAGCTCAGAGTCAGCAAGACGTCATCAGCATTTCCTAAGAAACACATGAACCCAGAAGAGTGAATTAAAATGCATTTTTAAGTGAGAAGTTTCATTTTTCCTGGCAGTTCTATTTGTAACTTCCCAATCCTTTGTAGCACCAATAAGTGGGGAGGGAGCGATGGGGAATTACGGTTCAGAGTGCAGAGCTGTTCTGTCAGACCTGCCTGGTGGACAGGGGCAGACTGAGCAGGTTGTGAGACCCAGCAGATACCTTCCCTGAGGACGCAGAGGCAGCAGAGCACACAAAGGGCAAGACCAGCTGTAGCAGGGGTCTGTCAAATATCTGACTTATATCTGGAAGGACTTGGGGTGGTCATGATGGGTGTGGAGTTACCTGAGGAGCAATAGAGCTGGATTGTGTCAGCCGTTTCTTATCCTTAATGGAGACAGCTTGCCCACAGGTGGCTCCTACAGCAGGGTCCTGGTATCACCTCCTCACACCAGAGCAAAACCAGAGCTGAAGGGAAGCAAAAGAAAGCAGAAATCCCTCCAGTTGGGAAGGCAAAGATCCTCACACATGAAAAAGAGACAGGATGGTGTCACTGAAAGGCAAAATCCGGAAACACTGCTGGTTTCTGGAGCACCAAAGGTGCTGCTGAAATGTGAAGGACAGGAGTCCAGATAGGAGGGGTGGCCACTCCATTGGTGACATCTTCCCAGCAGCTCTCCTGCTGTTCCTGAGCTCCAGCATGACATTTGGGAATGTTTTCCTAAACCGAAGGATTAGCATTGCTCCCAATTGACTTGGAAAGATGTTGAAAAATGATGGAGCATTAAAGGGCTGCTGGATAATTAACACTTGCCAGCATGGGTTGAGAAAGGCAGAACTTATCCAAAACCCTGGAATTCATTCTCTCGTGTTCTTACAATCTGGACTGGCAAGGGTGATGTGTAGATGCAATACATTTAGCCTTTCCTACAGTACTGGATCATGTGCCACTTGATAATCTGATTTCTATCAATCACTGCACATCCTGGTGCAGTGATTGATAGCACATCCTGGAGAAAAGTGATGTTGGGGGGTGCTGATGTTAAAGAGTGGAATTGGCAGCCCTCAGAGAGTTGGTTTCAGTGGGGTTTACCCTTCAAAGAGCTGTTGCAAGTGGCATTTGGCAGAACTTAGCACAAGACCACGCACTTTTCAACACTGAGCTCAGTGATCCAGAAATAAAGATGAAATTGCTGCTGCTAAAAGTTTCAGGAGACACGGAAGGTTTGGGATGCAAAGAGCAACAAAAAAGGAAGCTCTGAGTCAAGGGTGGGCTGGCTCCTTTGAACAGCAAGTGCCACAGTGCCGCCTATGAAGACCTGCAGGAACTGGAGCAGGGCTCCTGGGATTCATACAGACGCCTTAGTGGAGTCGTCCAGCTCAAAACTTAGTTGGAGAAATGTTTTTACAAAGCTCAACATTTTAGGTCATAGTGAGAGGCTGTGATGTGACTCGGTCACCAGCTATAAGCAATTTTAGGGGGTGAAAAGCGTAGGGTATTAAAAACCTCTTTAATCCAGCATCAGAAGAACCAGCTGATGACAGACAGACTGTCATTGGAGCAAACTACCAAGGACAGACCAGATGGGCAGTGTTTCTTGCTGTAATAAATGCTGTGTGGCTGCTAATGCTAATTCCTACTGCCACAGTAATCCTCTGAACAGGTTACCACCTTTCTCTCAGTTATTCTTGTAGATAAAACCTACAGCTCAGTGAGCTGTCAGGAGTTGAAGCTCACTTTAAACCCGGAACTGTTTTCTGCCCAAGAAGGAGGGATCTGTTTCCACAGGGTGTTTCCTCCCAGGCAGTAACACACTCAAAGGCTTTTAAGAACTAATGGAGCTTTGCAAGAGCCTTCAGGAGCATTACCATTCCCTGCAGAGCCAAGAGGACATCAGAAGGAGACACCTTTGGAAGTGACTCACTCCAGGCACAGAGTGAGTCAGGAGCAGCCTGGGAATACGATGCAGTCCCCCATCAACCTCCTTGTTGAAATGCCAGGGAGCAGCTTTTCTTGTCTGCCTCGAGCTTTGGGAATCACTTTCTGTGTGTGTTAATTCGACCTCTGGCTGCCAGCAAAGAGGCAGCGCGCTTCAGCTGTGCCACAGCCACACAGGGCTGCTGTGGGACAAGGAGGTCTAGTGCAGGGCAGGGGACAAGTCCTGTGGGTGATGTGCAGCACGTGCCCATTTCACCATCCAAACAGGGCCAGGAAGCTTTTTCCCTCATCTTACTGTCTCTTCTTGCTCGACACAAGACTGCATCAACTCAGAAACCAGCTCAGGGCTGACTTCATGGTCTTTCAGAAGTTATAGTGCCAAAGTGTACTCAGAGCTCCTCAGGAGCTGATGTGCTCAGGGAACTCATGGGGTTATATGCTGGACTGAAGTCCCTGGGTTACACGCTGGACTGAAGTCCCTGCAGCTATCAAAACTCTGTTTAACTTCAGCAAAGCTCAGGAGCTATTTCAGTCCTTTCAGGACAGGAGTCATCTCTCCCTGCTTCAATGAGATATCTCTGTGCAAGCTGCAGTAGCTGTCTAACCCTTGCCCATCTCCTGTGTAGTGACAGCAGCAGGAGACTGAAGGAGCCTGGGAGAAGACCTGTTGTGAGAACAGCATAGATCTATTTGTATGGCCTTTGGTCATTACTGCACCTGACACCATGGGCAGTGATCAAGCACAGGGTAGCACTTGGCTCAACCAGACCTTTGGGATCTGTAGATCCAGCTCTGTGCTGGGAAGTCAGGAGGGTCTGTGCTTCTTGCAGGATCTGTGCTTCAGGCTGATCTGCAGACCTATCCAGCACCGTTCCATTTGGAGGGTCCTCCAAGGACAGTGAAATACTACACAGAGGTTTCTGTTCCAAGCTGTAGTGGGAAATGGAAGAGGGAGAACTGGGCCATGTTTTCAGGGCAGCAAGCACTGGATCTGCCCACACTAGCACCGAAAAGCATTTGAAAGCTTCTTTGAACCTCGCAACCAGCTTGCTATTCCTGTGCTCCTGTGGTCATGTGCACTGAGCATACCTGTATCACAGACTCAGCCGGATGGTCTCCTTTGACTGACCAAGTCCAACATCCAGGTTTTTCCACCTTGTTATTGCCCTTTAACAGGAAAAGGACTCCTCTGGTCCATGCAGGTTTCCAGGTCAGCAGGAGGTGTGCTGCTTGCTGAGCAACGTGACTCAGACACTTCCACAAAACACACAGGGCTGGCACTCACTGGCAAATCTTCCACCAGGGAAGTGGAGGAGCAGCCCCAATAAAGAGACAGCCATGGAATCATAGCATTGCTTAGGTTGGAAAAGCCCTTTAAGCTCACCCAGTCCAACTGTTCCCAAGGCCACCCCTAACCCATGGCACTGAGGCCTCGTCCCCACGCTGTGTGAACACTTGCAGTGACGGTGACTGCAGCCCTGCCCTGGGCAGCCTGTTCTGGTGCTGAACTGTCCCTCTCACCCCAGTGAGTGCACGGCCATGCCCGTTGGTCAGAGGCACATCCCCTAACCTGCTGCTGCTGATGCTGACCTTCTCGAGCTAACACGGCGGGTGCTTGTGCCTTCCGAGTAGTGCTCTCTCGGATGGTCCTTGCTGCCTCTGAAGCCCTTGGAAAGAAAACCTTTGTTACCCCCTACCTTATGCATCAGATCAAGCCCAAGTCCTGTGCCGCTTCCTTTCCTCAACAGCCTAAACGGTGCTCCCTGGTGGAGCAAATGCCATCCATTACTGTCCCTGCTTGCCTGCTGTTCACAGCAGATGAGGGA